AACTGACAAAGGCAGAAGTTTTGTGACCTTCCTGCTTGCATGCAGGTGCAATGCAGAAACACTTAGACCCTTACACATAGACATAGAGAACAACCACAAAGCAGCCTTCCTGTAAACTACATGCCAAAGCCCAATTTATGATTAATAGGTCTAACCAGAGACAGGAAGCATTGCTGGCACGGACACAAGGCAGTATATCTTAATACTCAAGTGGCTTGGCTGGTCCTTGATGCTATTTTCTGCTAAGGAGAGAAAACGCCTGCTACCATTTTTCCTTTTCGTTTGCAGAGACAGGTCCAAGGCTGCAGGTGGGAGCAGCTGACAGGAAGCAGAGTCAATGTGGGGGCGGTGGCTTGCATTTTGAGGTCAATCACAAGCCTAAATAGGACATGATCTGGTGCTCACGCTCTGGTGAGTTTCCTCAAAGTGTTGAGCAAACTTAAGGTCCAGCGGGCCGAGCAGGTCTCTGAAGCCGTTGCACAGACAGTCCCCTTCATTAGCGCACTTATGTAAAACACTAATGGGAGCATCCCTTTGCCAAGAACCCCTTCCAATCACCACCAGCAACCCCTCCCTGTGATATGACGGTAACGATTTATGCCTCCACGCTGCAGGGCATATTAACCATTAGGGACAGTGTGCTGTCTTGTATCCACTTTCATCTGTAATAACTCAAGGTAAGACTCCGCCATATTTCATCCCCTCTGTGAATCCTAAATGATCTCGCATTGCTCCGATTCTTCGCCCCAAACTCCCCCTACCTTAATTTCTCTCTCATTCTCTTTCCCCCCCACCTCCTCTTCTCTCTCTTCATCTTTATCTCACTCTGTCTTCCCCTCCCCTACCAGGCCATGACTCATCTGGAGGCTTGCCAGGAATACATAGGATCACTCGCAGATGTACAATAACTTGAGGGGAATAAATATGCCCTAATTGAGAGAAATGATGTAATATTGATCCTCGGGCCTCTGAACCTTTGGCATCGATGGAGCGTTTCTGCCGAGCCTGTGACATTTAGAGGGATGGCTGGTGTGTGTGTGTGTGTGTGAGTGTGTGTGTGTGTGTGTGTGTGTGTGTGTGTGTGTGTGTGTGTGTGTGTGTGTGTGTGTGTGTGTGTGTGTGTGTGTGTGTGTGTGTGTGTGTGTGTGGTGTGTGTGTGTGTGTGTGTGTGTGTGTGTGTGTGTGTGTATTTTGTGTGTGCATGTAGGTGCATTTGTGTTGTTTAAGCTGTGTGTGTGTGTGTGTGTGTGTGTGTGTGTGTGTGTGTGTGTGTTGTTGGGAATAGGTGTTGCTGTGTAAGTGTTTTTTTACTTTGTGAAACTAAAATGTGTCTGCTCATTGTACGTGATAGGCTAAGGGGGCGGGACATCTCTAAGTGGTTGACCAATCACAACAGAGTAAGATGGTTTTAGGTTGAAATTGATGACGTTTCCATTTAAAAAGTTATCTTTGTTTTGCATGATGTTAATTAGGCCAAATATTTCCCATAGATAAAGACATAAACTCCAGGCTGCTTTCAAACCGCTCCTTCAAACATATTGTTTTTATAAATAATCTAAACGACTACTTTGAAAAAATGCTATATGAAAAAGAATCTCACCTTGACTGACAAATAAAGCCAGGTGAAGAGTAGAGCTACAAAGCAGGCAGGCGTCATGTGAAGACAATACATTGTGTTGCCAGCAAGATAAACACAAAACCAATAAGCCCTCAAGTGATAATCATGTCATCCTGACCCTTCGGCGTGAACATCCTCTCTCCAGGACTCCTGGTATTTACCTTGAACATGATCTATCGCACATGTCTCCCCGTCTGTGGCGTGGTGTGCCTTCATCCCACAGCAGATTGTCAGCAACACACATCAATATTAATCGTTAGAAATTGGAAATGATGCCTGGATAAATGCGAAAACATTATACCATTAGAAGATAAAAATCCATACAGCTACAGGAAGAAATGTGTTCCGGGATAATGGGAGGCTCAACATTCATAGATTGATAAAGTCGAGTAAAGGTTAAACAAAAGAGCATCTGTTTAACTGAGTTTCAAACCTGAGATGAGTTCTTTACAATGGTGCTGTGTTTCAGGAAAGAAATGAGGGACCCTACAAATAAAATAGGGCCCCTTTAAGCAAGTATTTGTCAAGTCTATATGGTTTCAATATAAGCTTGGAGGAAATAGGAGTCTGACCTGCAGCAGAATTGATGCGCTCACCTCCTCATTAACACAACTGCAAACTCTAATTTGATGTCGCTGAGGATAATGATGCTTTTGTTCTGAAGGCATCCTCTGCTCGTAGTCTATCATTAAACAGTGCGACTCCCTTCAGATGAGTGACTGAAGACCAATTTCCAGTTTATTATTTACCAAGCAACAAACGAGAAAGCTGAACTTCTGTGAGGAGTGCAGATAGTCAGATAGTGCTGGAGAACAAAGAGAGTTTCCACAATGAGCCTTGCTCAGAGGAAGTGATACAGATTCCCAAACTATGTAATTAAAAAGGACGGCCTTTTGTTTACTCAGTAGCGTTTCAGAAATTATTATGTTTGATGTTCCACTACTACATAGATGACAGGGATTTGCTGTGTGAAAGTTTCAACTTCAGCAAACAATTCTTACTAAATTCAGGTTAATGAGGCCCGATTAAGCTTTTGGGGGTTCTCCTTTTCCTGTAGTGTGTTATATTGGTTTGTTGTGCATGTAAATGGTCTGCGAAGGCTAAGATATGTCGATAAGAGTTTTTCTGTACATATCTGATACAATATTTGAATGTGACAAGAAATAAGAAAAGGTGGAATAAGTTCTACTACATGTATAAGCTTAACTTCTTCCTAGCTTGGAATAAAACTTCTCTCCAAACCCAAACAGGGTCCCAAAAGGCATCGTGGGCAACAAAGCTAATTACTAACAGAGGCACAAGAGGACAAGAAAACAGGGCAGTTTTGGGGAAGGTAAATACACCAAAAGAATAAATCAAATTACTCTGACACAAGACAACTCCTGGGATGCATTTAAATTCACTGATTGCTGATGCATAACAGTCTAGGTGGATCGCTGCTCAAAAGGAGATGGAACAGCTTAAAAGTGTATTTCGGGGGAATTCAGCAAAGAGGCTCAACACCATCACCCAGTTTTTTTTCCTTCGTTGCAATTTCAGAAAACTTGCCGCAATGTCGTAGTGTCAAGTGTCAGGGGATGAAGTGGGATTTCTCGAGGAGGAAGGCAGTTGAACGGTCTTGAAGTTTTAACAGCCAATCAAGATCGCGGATTATTCCCAGAATGAACATCACAAACAGACGCCCGTGAATTCAATCTAACCCGGAATAAAAAGTCAGAAAAGGTAGACATGGAAGGTCACAAGTGACACTTCAGCCAAGCAAAGACACTGAACTGTCAAACTGAATTACAAACTGAAACTGATCCGTACCACGAAAGGAAACATTAGAATGACATGCCCACTGAGGCCTGAGAACAGCATTTACACAACATTGTTTAATCAAGTATTTTAAATGAAATCTATTATGAGGATCCACATCCATTTGGAGACAAAAAGGAGACAATGTGTGCCGATTAATTGGGGCCCACGTTTACAGATCCCTCTGTGGGTCCCTTGAGTTCCTCTCTACGCCTCGCTTTCTCCCTCTCACCTGCCTAATTAACTGTTATCCGGAGAAACTTATGCTCAGGAGAATGAATATCAAAATGACGCAAAGAAACCCGCCAAACTGCATTTGACTGGGCTGTCTCTCTGTGGATGACAGCCCGACACTGAGAGGAAGTGTTGAATCAAATAGTTGTTCATGCATTACGTTTATAACAATGGGTGCAGATGTAAACGAGCAGAATAAACACATTTCCACTATTCCTCAACCAAATAAAATCTGTTGCAGTTAGATTGCATGTAATCCGTTACTCCTGAAGCCTGTCTCTCAGCAATCAGGTAATGGATTTAGAAAATCTCCATCATCTACTATCACAAAACTTAATTACATGAACGTAAGCCAGAGCAGCTTTTATCCATGATCAATGTAAAGGTACAATGATCTGCGCCTATTTTCTGATTGCCACCTTTTTACCTCTACGCTCCAGTTGTGTTCATCGCCCATGACAAATTGACTTCAAAGGAAGTCTCCATCATGACCCATTTTCCCTTCCACCAACAGCTGAGCTCTCACCCAATAAGGCACAAAGCGGGGAATTTCCCCATGAGCCCCTTGTGCATCAAAAGGCTGGTAAGGCAAACGGTGGAGCACGGCTCTGAGGAAGCCGCGTGAGGCAAAATTGGAGGCAATCATTTGAAGCAATGCCAACATTTGAAGGTAATGCGGAGGGAGATTATGAATGGTTTTCTCAGAAGCACCACTTCCATCCATTACTGACTCATTACAGCCGAACAAACACAAGAAGCATCCATGTTGCACACGCTTTAACCGAGATGAATGTGATCAGTGTAATTACATTGAGAAGACACTCAAAAGGACAGGAGAGGAAGCGCCGACATGCCTTTCATACCGACTGAAATACTTTCTTCTCATACACTGTGTACTCAGTACGCTTTCCTAGCAAGATCAAAACTCAAAGTTCAAACACAAAAGGGAATAACATTTCATCCTAAACACTGGTTACTTCAAGTACTACCTGTGCTGATCTAAAAAAAACATTTTAAATGCTAGAAACTAGTGTCAGCAGTTTTGCAGAGCGGAATTGGACTTAATGTGCATTTTTTAATCAACTTCTTGGAGTTTTATTAAAGTCAAATGTAGTATCATAATTGAATTTGACCCCCACATGTGCACTGTATTTGCACAGCAAGGAGGGAATTGACAAACAAATCCACATTTAAGTCGAGCGGCACCTACTTAAGGCTTTGATCAAATAATCTAGAAATTTGAAGCGATGCCATTATGACAAGCAGGCATTTGCTGCAAGTGTGACACACCACGCTGCATTGATGGACAGAACATAATCTCTCAGTGAGAGGAATGAAACGTGTCTCTTACCTATTGCCATCTCGATGACGCTCACTTGGCTCTCCGAGGGGAAGAGGATTTTGGGCGGCTTGTCTGTCAGGGGAGCTGTGAAGAGAGAGAAAACCAGAGCACATTACATTTCTCCTCCCTTGGACAGCAGGAGTATGATTTATTCATTAAAGACCACAATAAAAGGCTGCATTCAAATGAGAACAAATACATGGAGATATAATATTTAAAGAGTGGACAGAGAAGAAACTGGATGAATAACTGTGAATTACCCTTTTCAAAGCTTTTCAAACATCAATGCACAAGCTTTCAAAGAAGCAGCTGCTTCAATACTTTAAGGCCGTGAGTGTGTGAGCGATGATATGGCTTTGACATGGACTGCAATACAAACTGTACTGTATATACTGCAGCTGTGTAACTATTCAACCATTGCTGAATCTACAATATACCCCGAGGTAAAAATCCTTCACAGCTGCAGTGTAAGGTTAAGAGCTACTGCAGGAGATGCAGTATTTCCTGCTGTGCAGATAATGTGATCAGAAAATGTAAGCTTCTTGAAATACCTTGAATGATTACAATTATCTTTCAGAACAAATGAAAAGCAACGTGCATGGTTCGAAGGGTTACGTAATCCCAAAGGCATGCCGTGTGGTATATATGTTCAAAATGGGAGAGCGTGGTCCTGATCTAAAAGTGTATCACATTAGGAAAGCCTTTCGTCCCAACGCCCAATGAAAATACTCCGGGTCCAATTAGACAGCTGCTGAGTAACAAAAGACGTGTACTTAGAGGCTTCTCATTATAATGATTCCCTAATTGGTTCTAGTCTTCAAAGTGGCATCGGAGAGGTTTTTCTATCTGCGCTCACTAAGAAATACTCGCAGGAATGAGGCTTGTTTTTAGTACAAATGACTTGTGGTGTGACTGGAGCCGTGATCGCTGAGCTAAACCTGGAGAGGAGTGGCAGAAAGGAGGACGGTTTTCACAAGTTCATATTGAGCCGGTTCCTTCATACTCCAGTTCTCCAGTGATGTAATTCAACACAGCGGAGGCTGTTAGCTCTAGTTACATGTTGATGTCAAGCCTTCAGGGTCGTTTTTATCGCAACAACTGCAGTTTAACAGAGCAGACTTAAGTTTTTCAGATTTCTTTCTTCCATTTATATATTCAGTTATTCTTCATGAATAACTTTGTGCCATACATAACAGATGAGTGTTTCATGATGCAACTGCGGGACCCTTAAAAATCAGTTTTCCACAAATAAGTAAGGGTATTGTGGGCGAGATTCTGTCTTGAAAAGGCCAGTTAAACCATGACAAAGTGCACATATTATGCTAATTTGTCAGCTTCATATATACATAGATATTTGTAACTGCCATTTTTCTCATACTGCCTGTGCTGTAGCTCCTCTTTTCACCCTCTGTCTGAAACCAGAGAACAGTCTGCTCTGATTGGTTTCCTCTTATTTCAGAGGCAATATTTTAGTCAAATATACACTGCAGTGGTATCCACTCAGTTGTGCTAATTAAAACAATTTAATTGTTCTGATGCCCAATCTATTGAAAGATAAAACCATGCCATGTCCTTTAAATAAATAATCATGCAATTTGTTAAAGCAGTGAGCTGAAAGCAGGATAAAAAAAAACCCTATATGAGCTCATTAATTACAATTTCAAAAAAGAAGTCATAGCAAATGATTCCTTTTTCCCCTGAGCCTGCCGCATTCCAGTGCTGTCTAAAGAAATCTCATTACCTCAATTACCTTTTTCCAGATGAAATATGCTTAGTTAGCTTCATTATGACTTGAAAAGAAAAAAAAGATTTGTTCTACTCTGGGGATGCAAACATCAAACATGAAGCTATAGCTTGTTGCACATACTGTTAAGTGAGTTTAAAAGTTGTACATTATGTATTTGCTTTAATGATAAAACAATCATAGAAAGTAAACAGCACATTTGAAGTAGCTAACTCTAGAGCAAAAGAAATTGTGCCTTTTATCCAAATCAAGGGCACGGTGCGGATATGATGTTTGTCAGTGGGATCCCACCAAGCTGTAAGGCACGCAACAACACACACACACACATTTGAGATGCATCAGTGAAGCTGGCTGGTCTTCAACTACAAAACCATCATTCTGTGGTGGGTTATTATAAAAGGGAGTGGGCAGGCTTTTCGCTGAGGGGCGACACACACACACACACACACACACACACACACACACACACACACACACACACACACACACACACACACACACACACACACACACACACACACACACACACACACACACACACACACACACACACACACACACACACACACACACACACACACACACACACACACACACACACACACACACACACACACACACACAGTGTCCCTCACCGGCCCTGTGACCTGCTCTCGCTGTGATCACATGATGATGGATGGGGGGATGGAGTAATAAAAGAGGGGGAAAAAAAAGACCTTGTTCTCTCCCATTAACTCCCACATCGCCTCCTCTCCTTCCCCTATCTGTGTGTCGCTCGCTGTGTGTGTCTTTGTCACTCTGTCTGTCTGTTTCCGTCGCTCTCGAGGGGGAGAAAGAGAAAGGGAAGATGAAAAAGGAGGCAGAGGAGGAGGGGAGGAGGGAGAGAGGGTTGTGGTCCTCTGTTCCCACCTCATTAAAGACCACTTCAGCAAACATAGATTAAGTGGAGTTGTGTGTGTGTGTGTGTGTGTGTGTGTGTGTGTGTGTGGGTGTGTGTGTGTGTTTTGTTTGTAAGCTTAAGACCCTTTTAACCAAAGCCTGTTCATTGAAAATGTCATTTTTAATAAACTGACTTTGTCAAACCATCCTCGCCAAGGCTTGACACATCAGAAGATATGTTATATAACTGAATCTGAAAGATAATGCAGGACTTTAATGTGTTGAATAAGTTAACAAGAATGTCTTCAAACTGGACTTTAGCCGACGGCAGCTGCTGCAAACTGGGAAGGAGAAGACATTTGTCAGCAGCTGTTAAAGTTTTGAGACAGTAAAGGGCTTCCTCAGGGCCGAGGGGACAAATGGACAAGGGTGTTAGATAACCAGCAAACCGAACTCAATAAGTCAGTTTGCCAAATATACTTTCTGCTGGTGAATTATACAACCTTTCTCTTTCAAATGAGGTTAAATGACTATGAAAAACACTATACAGGAACAGTACCGGAGTCAATTGCTGGAAAGACATGCTGGTAGTACTACTTTTGTTCAGATTGTGGAAGTAGATTGTATTTTTGAGAGGCTATCATCAAGTACTTACAAGGTTTTATTGGCCACTTTTCTCTTTCATGGCTAAATATACAGGTCAATAGACTGGAAAAATGCCATAGTAAATTCTTAATGTGACCTCAGCTGAAGGAAAAGTGCTTTCATTACCTCACAACATAACCGGTGCAATTTTCCTACCGCAAACTATTTTTTTTTATGAACAGAATGTGCAGAGCAGTTAAATAAATAGTTCATGAAAACAAGGACGCTGCTGTTGCCTGTGATTGTACAGTGTGGGAGTCAAATGTTATGATTCTGGAAAAATATCAGTTATTTTAGCGGAAGGACCTCGTGGCTTATGCCCTGAAACATCTGCTTGAGGCAACGGAAATGGAGCAGAGCCACGATGAGTGCGGTCTCTGATGATCTCTCGGATGAAGGAGATGTCGCTTTACTGCTAGGAGAGGGAAACGAGCGGCTTTAAAGGACGTAAAGTACTAGAGACCTGGGTTTTGCTTTCTCCTAAGGATGTATTATATTGCAATTTAAGTTTGAGTTGAATGCAGGTCAGTCAATTGCAGAAACTAACATTAGAAATCGTAATATTGGGCTCTGGGCTTCTGCACACCACTGTTGCAATCTGCATTCATTCCCATGATCCCAGCTATAGCACCGCTGCTAACAACTTCTATACACCGTAATGTCTGCAAACAGCATCAGGGCAGCTGTTTCAACACCGTGTCTGGCAGCAACCACGTGGATCAAATTCTGTCTATCTGTCTGAAAATGTAGTAGAAAAGAATGTGTGCTTTGTGGAGTTGCAGCCACTTGTTATGACGGATATTTCCGAGGTGCAAAAGATACATCTTTTGTCTGAAAAAGGATGCTGCTTGTTAAAAATGAGCTAGATGCTCTGCTGGACTCCCCGAGCTGAAAAGGGGATATTTGAAAAGCACTGAAAAATACACTTTTGGGAAATACATGAACCCTAAAGAAATGACAATGCTACTCTCTCCGAGGATACTTGTTAAGAAATACCAATATAGAAAACCCTGAACAGAACATAATAAGGGTATACTTCCTTATTGAAAAGGGTGTTGGTTTAGGAGATCCATCAAAACAATTGAATATGAGCGGGCCCAGAGGATAGGACAATGCGTTCGGGGGAAATCACATAAATCATCTAAAGCAAAAATAGCAGGAGCGACTTCACTCTCCACTGAACAGCTTTGAAACAGAAAGGCATGATTACTCACAGTGCTTATATATGGTTCAGGTATTTCCTGTAATGAGAGATCTTTTTTGGATCTGATGCATACTTGTAAACATTTGCACTGCTGAGGAAAAACTGTCCACACTTGGATCATGTGCGGCTAATCATGTGTGGCTAGGAGACAGTTGCTTGTTAATTAGAGAGGGCCTGCACTCATTATTCACCTGTTTCTAGAGCGGGGGCCTCAGAAACGTGTGATTCACTCAATGATAAGGAGGGTGGGAGGTGGGAGAGATGGTGATATGCTTCAAGCCGCCTGGCCTAAAATATTCCTCAAGAGAGGAGTTGAGGATGAGTCAGAGAGGAAGGAGATGGTGGAGCTGCAAGAAAGCTCCGGGTGCTTTTATAAAAAAAGGGTTTTGGCAGCGGATAGAGTGGGAGAGCGAGCTAAGAAGAGACGGAAAGAAAAAAAGAATGGATGAGATGAAGATGTTGTTTGGCGCTTCTTCATCAACAGGAAAGCGTGTGTGTTGGGAGGCAGTGTGGGTCATTGCTTGGGCGTGAATATCCTTAGTGATGGAAGTTGAAGGAGGAAAGCCAGCTGGGTTAACATGGTGCTAATTGCCATCATGTCACACCCATAGC